TCTCAGCAGTTTTCCCCCATGACCATTTCAAGAAAAACTGAAAAGTTATCCGTGAAACGTCTTTTCAATGTCTTTAGCTATGCATGCTGTGCTTTAGTCAGGCCAAAGTTTAATACGGCAATGCGTTAACTTAAGTTAACAATAATTTTTGTAAACGATTTTCCACAAATTTAATGTTTACAAAAAGTTGGCTTTAATCATGAAACTTTCCGTTATCAAACAGGATTTTAGTTATTCATTATTTTAAATCAAGTTCTGAGAGGTTAGAGGTCAGAGGTTATTGTGAACTTATTTCAATGACTTATCAAAAGACAGAAATTTTACGAGTTATGTCCCTTGAGGCATTTCTTTCAATTGCAGTTATTGAAGCAAAATGAATTTGATGTTAAAAGTATTAAGGAAGATTTTTTAAAATCCATCATTTTCACTGGTTTGAGAAGAAATATATAATCAATATACTGTATATGAAAATTTAAATAATTCAATGTAGTACATGAGGAAATGTTTCAATGTAATACCTTACTGAAAATTTTATTTGTGTACATTAAAAAAAAATAAAAAATATTCAAGTATATTTTCTGATTTCAATTTCTGATAATAGTATTTCTACATGGCAAATTTATGTATTACTCACACAAAATTGAAAAAAAGAATAAATTAATACTGTGTCAGGTAATACTATAATTATAAGCTCTACATCAAACTGCATTATGACATTATGTTCATGGGATTTTAGAAAATTGCATTAACAACAACATTATTTACATAACAGCAAACCATCAATAAAAAAAAACAACAAAAAAACAAACAAATCGAAAAAAATATTTTCAAAATGGATACTCTCTAAATAAATGATGCACTATTGTCGGAATAATACTCTCTAAATAAATGATTGCAATGCGTCATCTTAAAAATAATGCTTAAAATATTCAGAAAAACAATAAATTAGATCAATAACTTTAAATCAAACTGGATTCCAAACCAAATTTTATAATATTATCATCTTACTAAACATTACAAATAATTTCAGCCACACACTGTTTAGATTTTTTAAAATGTATATATTTGGGCTTTTATTGCGTGGAGCCAAGAAGATAATTTTTAAAAAAATGGTTATATTATCGATGATATGTTTTTTTTTTAACTTACCACAAATACTTTATTTTAAAAAATCTTGTGACAGAGCGATTTGTAGTAAGAACACAGCAATTGAAAATCACTTACTAAGTGTAAAGTAACTTTTTTTTTCGGGTCAACCTTCAAATATAAGTAGGGCACCACAGTAATAAAAGAATAATTTAAGGTCAATAAAAATTACACAACTTTACAAGCACCAAAATTAAAAATATATAAACTATGAGGAATCCGTTAGGCCTACCAATGATTCCAGTGAATACAAGTATAATATTTATAGATATATCAAAGTTTTGATTGGTCAAAATCGTAGCAGTAACATCGTCTTCCAGCAGAGAAAGACAGTTTTCATTGGAATGTCTCTAGAAAGGTTAGCACTACAGTACTTAAAAAAAGTTAATATATTTGGTACTTAAAAAAAGTTAATATATTTGAACATTTTAAAAGTCCATAACCTATTTATTTCTTAGAACATAATTGTTTTGTTATATTTCATAAGCTAGTACTTATACGCATTTTGTATGCTTTTGAAGGGAAAGAATTAATGAAATATAAAATCTGTAGTTGAATTATTTTTTTTTAATATACCCGGTATATATTTTCATCAAACTGTCTATCCTAATATGTGAATGTTGCTCCAACCTTCATATTAATATATACTTAGATAATAATTAGAACTTGGAGTTTATTGATTTCATTAGCAACATTAAAAAAATAAACATAATGACAATATGGCAAGTAGAAGTATAAATAAAGTCTAAGGGAAATAATTCTTTTTAAAAATTCAGTCTGATTTATGAAGCAACAGTAAATTGTTACAGCGAAAAACACAAGTTAAGTATTTGTACCGGTACAACAACAAAAACACAAGTTAAGTATTTGTACCGGTACAACAACAAAAAACACAAGCTAAGTATTTGTACCGGTACAACAACAACAAAAACACAAGTTAAGTATTTGTACCGGTACAACAACAACAGAATCGGAACAAGTTCAAACTCAGCTTAGAGATTTCTGTATTTTTCTGTTTTTTCATCTGAAATATTTTGATTTATGTATGTATTTATTACCTGGCATTTCAAGGGATATAAAATAAATATCTTTTTTTTTTGTTTTGGAAAGTAGAAGCTGAAAATATTGATGTTTCTACAACTATTTTAAGTTTAAGTGATAGGCAGGGGGGAAAAAATGTTAACAGCTGCGGGGGCGGCGGCGGGCAAGGGGGGGGGGGGGACGGGACACAACAAAAAAAATAAACTTTTATAATTAATTGATAGGCAGGGGGAACAAAATGTTAACAACTGCATAAAAAAACAAAAAACTTCTGTTTAAGTCATAGGCAGGCTGAAACAAATTTTTAAAGACTGCATAAAAAAAAAATAATTACGTGAATAGGACATCAAGAAGAATACATTTAAATAAGGTAAATGCTGTGCTGTTGCTCTATTTATCTAGCAGCTCACTGCTGTCATCCCATAAATATTTGATGACGTCCAAACTTGTTTACGAGTTCTTTTTTGTGATGTAAACACTTAGAACGTAAACATTTCCTATAACACTTAGAATGTTAACATGTAGTTGTAAGACACATAGAATGTTAACATATTGCTGTATAACACTGAGAATGTTAACCTCTTGTAAGAAAAAAAAATGAATGCCACAAGTTGAAAAAAATAACCCTGTTTGACTTATATTTGAAAATTTGAAGCAAAAAAAACCAACTAATTAAAAGACAAATGATGTGGTGCACCAGCACTGATAATGAGCACCAATTCTGCAATCAGACATCAGAGTGTAAACAAAATTTTTTAACAAATGTTCTCAAAATTGTGATTTCTCCAGACAAAAAAACTGTGCTCTAAGTAAAATGTTCAGCTCCGTGAATGAATGTTATAACAGCAGATACGTGGCACGTCGTTTTTAATCTCCAGCAATGAAGAGAATCAGCAGTGTCCCAGCACATCCTTTGTAATTTATAATAGTGACCAATTTTACCTGATAAGTTACCAGACAACGATAAGATGACAAAACATTTTTATTGTGAGTAATGATAAATGAGTACCTAAGGGATATAAATAATCTGGTGTCCGTCTCGTCTGACTGAAATATCGAACTGTACAAAAAAATGCCAGACACATTCCGACTTTAAAGACATCAACAATGAAACAGGGAGACCAGCCAAGATGATTCACTCTAAAAGTTTTCTGCTCTAATAACAAGATCTGGTGGTCTTAAATCACTCTGGGAATTTTAAATATATCTTTATTCCGCTGAAGTTTTTTGAAAACCCATCCTTTAATATGTCCCAGAACCGGATTTGTCTCTCCCCCTTATTACACCATTGCTACCTCTAATTACCCCATTGCTTCCCTTTATTACTCTATTGCTTCCCCTTATTACCCCCTAAGTGTCCCTGCTCCACCTTATTAGACCATTGCTCCCCTTATTACTCCCATTAATACCCCATTGCTCCCCCTTATTCTCCCCTTTATTACCCCCCTTATTACCCCATTGCTCCCCCTTATTCTCCCCTTTATTACCCCCCCTTATTACCCTATTGCTCTCGCTCAAAAGACCATTGATAAGGAAATAACTTGTTATGCTATAATCTCAAGAGAACAAAGTTAACAAGTCTCCCAATTTAATGAATGCAGTCATTCCGTTAGATGACCTGTCTTCACCACTGGGCAGAGCAACAATGCTCTTTCATGATTAACTGGTGGGCAGAGCAACAATGCTCTTTCATAACTGGTGGGCAGAGCATCAATGTCCTCTCTTGATAACAGGTGGAAAGAGAATTAATGCCCTCTCATGATAACTGGTAGGCAGAGAATTAATGCCCTCTCATGATAACTGGTAGGCAGAGAATTAATGCCCTCTCATGATAACTGGTAGGCAGAGAATTAATGCCCTCTCATGATAACTGGTAGGCAGAGAATTAATGCCCTCTCATGATAACTGGTAGGCAGAGAATTAATGCCCTCTCATGATAACTGTGTCTCCTTGGTAAAAACCGACGTGCAACAATAAATACGGATGCAAGTAGAAACAAATATGACATGACCCTGACCCCTGCACCCAGCACAATCTATGACATGACCCTGACCACTGCACCCAGCACAATCTATGACTTGACCCTGGCCACTGCACCCAGCACAATCTAAGGCATGATCATGACTCTACCAGAGAGTATTAAATACAAAATCGGTTATGGAAAAGAGAATTGAAACTTAACTGTTTTTTTAACGGTGGGAATGGGATCTGTTTCTAATTGAAACATTACTACATGAATGTGTGAGCCAACTTGTAAAGGCTTCATCTAACTTCATTAGTGTCAAATATCAACTACAGCTTTCTACTTCATTGGTGTCAGTTATCAATTACGGCCTTTTACTTCATTGGTGTCAATAATCAACTACAGCGATCTACTCAGTGGGTTATTAAGGATGAAAACAACAAACCTCTTTGTTGGCCTTAATTACGATATGAGAATATAGATTAAACCCAAACAATGAGCTGTGATCTCTTAAAATTGCATTAGAACTTTTCCCATCCCATCCTCCAGTGAATTTGCTGATTGCTCTCATTCGGTCGTATGCCGCTCTCGCAAACAAAGAGCTCCTGGTTTGTTCACGTGAAAACACCTGAAAAGGGCAGCCTGTGTGTAGGATCACTGTTCATTGTCCTACTGTGATTCAGCGTCATCGTTGGACTCTGACTCGGAGTCATCAAAAAATGAATCTGGGTCACAAATTACTCTAGCCCCTGGCACCGCAGAGAACCTGTAGCCGTCGATTATTTCATTCTCCAGGGCTAGCTCTGCTGTTGTCTCGATGGCTCCACGACCACCCACAAACGATTTTGTCCTTTCTTCTCTTACACCAGTCTGATTAGAATCAAGGTCTTTTTCATGGCCGTCCATCACCTCTTTAGGGTACCACGAAAGCCTGAGCTGATTATGGCTGCTATCACTACTAAAGTTTTGATTGTGTTGAGCAGACTGTTCGCTGTTATCGTGAGTAGATTCCAACCCTTCATCTGATTTCGTCGACACAGTTTCCCCAGGTCCAGTGTTTGTCCCATCCCTCAGATTGTTGTCAGCAGAGTGCAGTTCAAATTTATCACCACCAGGTTTACCATTGTTCCAGTGAGTTAAATCATTCACTGAATTCACATTTTCAACTGCATCGAACTGAATGCTGACTCCACTGCTTGATGTGAGTTGTGCACAATCTTCCAGTTGTTGTACATTTTCATGGCCGCTAGGAATACAACCGTCGCAGAGTGTAGTTCTGGTGTCGCAGGGTGTTGCGCTGGTGTCACAGTGTGTGGCGCTGGTGTCGCAGGGTGTGGCACTTGAGTCACAGGTTGTGGCATTGGTGTCACAGAGTGTTGAATTATTGTCACAGAGTGTTGCACTAGTGTCATAGAGTGTTGCGCTGGTGTCACAGAGTGTGGCACTGGGTATAAGCTGTATGTTACTGACTGTTGGTTCTGTATCTTTCTCCAACTCCGTGATGTTATCACCACCAGACACAATGGGCATCACAGAGCCTACCTGTTGCTGTGAGCCCACCTGTGGCTGTGAGCCCACCTGCGGCTGTGAGCCCACCTGTTGCTGTGAGCCCACCTGCGGCTGTGAGTTTTCATGATAGGTTTCCTCCATATTGAAAGATCTTGCTTCAGTTGCATCCTGAAGGGTTGTCAAAATGTCTCTGTCACTTACATGCTGAATTGTTGTCACAATGTCTCTGTCACCCTCAGATTGCATATCTGTAATTGTCTTGAACTGACTGTTCTCATCGGGATGAGCCCCAATGTCTGACTTAAGAATTTCATTTTGAAATGATGGCAATGCCCCATCTGAATGTGTTGGATTGTTTTGGTGCCCATCACTGTCTGCATTTGGGGCATTGAAGTCCATGTTTGGGGCATCCCAATTCCTATTTGGGGCATCACAGTCCATGTTTGGGGCATCACGGTCTACCTTTGGTGCATCACAGTCCATGTCTGGGGCATCACAGTTCATGTCTGGGCCATCGGCAGTCTGAGAAGCTTCATCCAACTTCTCCGCAGCAGCTCTACCAAAACTCTCAGACACAGATAAGATGGAGTTATCTCCCATCGGAGTCAGTAACTCCTCAAGTCCATTCGCTTCAGACTCGCCATTAGTGTTTTCCTCGGAACTTTCAGTTTGAAACAGTGAGTAGATGTGAAGTGGGTCGGCCTTATCGACAGACCTCACTTTCCGCAGGGTTCCGCGGTTGAATGAAAGAATGGAGTACCTTCGAGCTATGCCGTCAAGCCGGGGGAGGCTTTTGTCTCTGGTTATAGTCCTCCTGAGGCTCGCCTTGGGGTTAAATGTGCGGATCGATTCTGTCAGCGATCTTAACGTGTGGAGGTCTTTCTCCTCGAAGGCAGCAAACAGATCTTTGATACTGATTTGATTCTTTTTATCTGGGGGTTTATCTTTCTTGGCTTCCTAAAATTCAGCTAACGCTTGATACAGACTTGCATTATATCTAGGACAATTTAAAAAATTTTTGGCAAACCCATGAAAAAAATTGCTTTTAGCCTCAAATCTTTCACCCCCTCCCCCCCCAAAATTTTTTTTATCATTAAACATTTTTTGATAAATTCCGCATCGTTGTACACATGCAGCCATTCATACGGAACACTTTAGCTTGGCAGTGTTACTGTAGCCAAGTAAAATTAATTTGTCCTTTTAATTTCAATTGCTAGAACCCTTACACTGACTACATTTCTCATCTAGACTGGGAATGGGAAGATACTCCACATCCATCTACATCCACCTTTTTCCCCAATTAAAGGGCCAAAAGCTGTAACCCTGTACTCACCTTTGTGATCGTTCTGACCCTGCAAATCATTAACGTTTGAATTTTGAGCAATGGCCTCTTGTTCATCCAACCTGTACGTGGCAGCCATTAGTATGGACTTCATGGCTCCATCCTTGAGGAAATATAACAAAAATAACAATCCATGACTGCTTCACTCGTTGATAAAATCATCATCAGAAGTATTGATAAATATATAATTAAACAATCATTGCAAATTATTTTCATTTTTATTTGTTTGATCAAAGCACAGTAACATTGGATGAAACGTGTGCAAAAAGCTTTACTCACTTGAGTTTCATCTACTGGTAGTCTCCCTTGCTTGTTCTTGATCCTGGTGTCGCCCCCTGCATGGAGCAGAGCATTGGTGATGTCATCACTGTTCCTCAGCAGTGCCTCATGCAGGGCCGTGTTCCCTTTCATGTTGGTTACATTAGGATCAGCCCCTGCCTGCGGGAATTAAAAACAGCAACCTGAAACTCTTTAGGAATAAACAAATCTTCAAGAGAATTTTACTTAAATTTAAGAATTTCTTCTGACTCAAACAAAAATATGATGTTTTAAATAATGCACGGGTGCATTCATTAAAGTTTTTTTTAACTTAGGTTAATGGATTTGTGTAGACTGAATCTGTTGATCAAGTAGGGCAGCCATCACCTAGGGGGAGGTAATCCTTGAGTAATAGACCATTAACAACCAGATTCAGGATACTGCTGCCAACTTGGTGGGGGATTAAAAATAAAAAATCTATGCACAAATCAAAACTATTCAAAAATAAAAAATCTATGCAAAAATCAAAACTCTATGCGAAAATCAAAACTCTATGCCAAAATCAAAACTCTATGCGAAAATCAAAACTCTATGCCAAAATCAAAACTCTATGCAAAAAACAAAACTCTATGCTATGCCAAAATCAAAACTCTATGCAAAAAAACAAAACACTATGAAAAAATCAACACTATGCAAAAATGGCTGCAGTGAAGTTTAGCTGCCAGAATCAAACACCTTAGATAAGAACTTGTTAAATCTTACATACTGATACAAGTCCAGAAACTTGAATATAAAAATTAGTGTAAATAATAGGACCAAATTTACAATGTAACGTAACCGAGGCCAAGGAAAAAAAATCACCTTGACGAGTATCTGGACACCATTGAAAAACCCATTGGAAGAAGCTATCAGTAATGGCGTGTCACCATTGGCATCCTGGACGTCCAGTTTTGCCCCGGCTTTGACCAGCATGTCTGTTATCTGTGGAACAGAAAGCTGAGCTAAACAAACAAAGTCTGGCTGTGGGGCACCAAGTCTGGCTGTGGGGCACCAAGTCTAGCTGTGGGGCACCAAGTCTGGCTAAGAGGAACAAAGCTTGGTTGTAGGGCACAAGTCTGGAGGTGGGGAAACATGTCTGGCTGTGGGGCACCAAGTCTGGCTGTGGGGCACCAAGTCTGGCTTTGGGGCACCAAGTCTGGCTGTGGGGCACCAAGTCTGGCTGTGGGGCACCAAGTCTGGCTGTGGGTGGACGGCAACCTCTCTAAGAGAAGGCAAACTCTGAATTTAAACAAGGAGCCTGAATGATCAACAAATTGATCGTGGGCCCGTCATATGTAAGAAGAGACGAAGGACAATAGCTTAACAATAAAAGCCATTTCGATCACTGACGTGACCATTGACGTGCTGACACAAGCTTACCAAACTATTGCGCACACAGCAGGCCAGGTGCAGAGGAGTGAGGCTCTTGTGGTTCTGTGTGCTGAGGTTGGCATTGAGGGTGATGAGCAGGGCCACGATGTCCGAGTGATTGTGCAGCACGGCCATGTGAATGGGACTGTAGCCCGTCGAGGTCCTGATGTCAACACTCAGGGATTCCCCAGATTTGCGGGTGGCCTGCGGAACGACAAATATGTAAATACTTGCATGCAGTTTCAGCACTGTAAAGTTTGAATAATGTAACCTTGGTGATTGATTCGTGTACATTGACTACTGTAAAGTTAGAATTTACACATGGTGATTGATTCGTGTACATTGACTACTGTAAAGTTAGAATGTAGACTTGGTGATTAATTCATGTACATTGACTACTGTAAAGTTAGAATATACACTTGGTGATTGATTCATGTACATTGACTACTGTAAAGTTAGAATATACACTTGGTGATTGATTCGTGTACATTGACTACTGTAAAGTTAGAATGTGTACTTGGTGATTGATTCGTGTACATTGACTACTGTAAAGTTAGAATGTACACTTGGTATTTCATTTGTGCACAATGGGTACTGTAAAGTTAGAGTGTACACTTGTTATTTTATTTGTGTACATGGACTACAGTAAAGTTTGAATAATCTATACTTGATGATGCATTTGTTTACTGTAAAGTTTGAATGTACACTTGGTGATTATTTTATATACACACATTTCCTGACTGCAGAGCTGCTAATGCTCTTAATCTTACAGAAACACCCTCTCTCTTATGCTGAAACACCTTCTACTTATGTACACATGACACCATAACGTCGATGGCACATGACACCATAACGTCGATGGCACATAACACCCTAACGTCCATGGCACATACTTTCTCAATGCCCAGGCACTTGTCACACTGACACAGCGGGTGGCACATGTCGTCAACAGAGGCTGTGGCCGGGGCACTTTCGACGTCGTCATCATCATACTGGTCATACATGTCAGACTGGATCCCAAAATAGAACTTGGCCTACAATTATAGTTACAGAAAATAATATTTTATAATACTTGAAATGTCATCCACCTCAATAGAAATAGCCGAGTTTTTTAAAAAAAAGTGCCAACTGGCACAGTCATTAAGGCTTAACACAGCTTAAAATTTTCTAGGTACTTTATTTGTGTGTACATTTGATGAGATTTAAAAAAAAAAAATTACTACTCGGGATTAATTAAGGACTAAAAGTTGAGATAGGTTTAAGGGATAAGACAAAAGAAGTGGCACATCATATTTTATGCCATAACCAGAAAGACACAATGAAAAAAAAAATATTTGTTTAAAATAACAGCACATCTCCGTGTATTTCTTTTTAAGTTTTCAGCAAATTAAAACAAAACTACTTCAAAATTAAAAGAATATTCAAATTATATTTTGTTATAAAACATTACTAGAAATAATGTTTTTTTAAAAATTCCTACTGTTAAAAATTTGAACAAGTTTCTTCTATTTCAAGAATATGTAAAAAAAAAATTATAAAAAAAAAAATTTAGGTGAAACCTACGCACGTGATTCTGCGTCAATAATTGATGTATATATATACACACATACTTATCAGGTAACTAAACGGAAAATCAATGAAGGACTACGCTCGTGATGTGTGAATCAAGTATAAGAACAAGGTATGTAGGCGCTGGAAGCAAAAGACAGGACAATAAGATGTGAACGTTTCGGCTAAGAGCCTTCCTCAGCAAGGGGGACAAATGAATAGACAACAAGAAACAGAGCTCTGGAAACAGAGAGTTAAGTAATGTAGCATCGACACAAGTAGAAGTGAAGTAACTAAATGGAAGCCAAGAGTTACGTAATGTAGCATCGATACAAGTAGAAGGAAGGTAACAAAATGGAAGCCAAGAGTTACGTAATGTAGCATCGATACAAGTAGAAGGAAGGTAACAAAATGGAAGCCAAGAGTTACGTAATGTAGCATCGATACAAGTAGAAGGAAGGTAACAAAATGGAAGCCAAGAGTTACGTAAGAAAAGCTCACCAGCTGGATATCTCCCTCGATAATTGCTTTGAACAGTTTTTCCCGTTTCCTTCTTTTCTCAGCCTCGGAGCCATCGTCTAAAGAAATGGACGCCACCTGTAGCGATGCAGCCTCCTGCTCTAACGCACTAATCTCGGCGGAGTGCCGACTGGAGAAAGATGAAGCCGCAGTAGATGTGGATGACACGGACGATGACCTTGATCTGGCCTTTGGACTGGCAAACTGAATCAGACAGGAATGTTTTAGTTGAAAATGAAAATAACTTTTAAAACAAACATATTTAGTCTGTTACAATTCTGATAGAGAATTAATATCCATGATATGTGTTCTTTCAAATAAAATTTTTGTACTGGAGAAAGGGAGATTGGTTTGCGTGTCAACTTGATAGGACTCAGGTTTGTTTCATTCTGGGTATAACTCTTTGTCCAGCCCAAAAACATCATCCTCAAACATCCGGAAAAAGGGGTACACAATTTTCACAAGTGGACATTTTTATAAAAATTTTAAAATTTTGATTGATTTTTCGATTAAAATATTCAGGAATAAATGTAGTTAAAATGATGTCTTCCTTGATCTCAATTTAAAAGAAAAATGTTGACACATTAAAGGAAGTCCCTGCCAAAATATGAACAATTTAAAAGAAAAATGTTGACACATTAAAGGAAGTCCCTGCCAAAATATGAACAATTTAAAAGAAAAATGTTGACACATTAAAGGGAGTCCCTGCCAAAATATGAACAATTTAAAAGAAAAATGTTGACACATTAAAGGGAGTCCCTGCCAAAATATGAACATTTTAAAAGAAAAATGTTGACACATTAAAGGAAGTCCCTGCCAAAATATGAACATTTTAAAAGAAAAATGTTGACACATTAAAGGGAGTCCCTGCCGAAATATGAACATTTTAAAAGAAAAATGTTGACACATTAAAGGGAGTCCCTGCCAAAATAGGAACATTGACACCACATTATTTCATAGCTGCTGCTTTAAAATACTAATGAAAGAAAAGCTCACTCTTCTACAGCAACTTTTGACTTTTAGTATCCTCCATTTATTTCGGCAAATAAATTGATTTTTAACAAATAAATCCTCATAGGATCATGATTTAGTATAGAATAACTTTGACAACTCCTCATAGGATCATGATTTAATATAGAATAACTTTGACAACTCCTCATAGGATCATGATTTAGTATAGAATAACTTTGACAACTCCTCATAGGATCATGATTTAGTATAGAATAACTTTGACAACTCATCATAGGATCATGATTTAGTATAGAATAACTTTGACAACTCCTCATAGGATCATGATTTAGTATAGAATAACTTTGACAACTCCTCATAGGATCATGATTTAGTCATAGAATAACTTTGACAACTCCTCATAGGATCATGATTTAGTATAGAATAACTTTGACAACTCCTCATAGGATCATGATTTAGTCATAGAATAACTTTGACAACTCCTCATAGGATCATGATTTAGTTTAGAATAACTTTAACAACTCCTCATAGGATCATGATTTAGTCATAGAATAACTTCGACAACTCATCATAGGATCATGATTTAGTATAGAATAACTTTGACAACTCATCATAGGATCATGATTTAATCATAGAATAACTTTGACAACTCCTCATAGGATCATGATTTAGTATAGAATAACTTTGACAACTCCTGATAGGATCATGATTTAGTATAGAATAACTTTGACAACTCGTCATAGGATCATGATTTAGTATAGAATAACTTTGACAACTCATCATAGGATCATGATTTAGTATAGAATAACTTTGACAACTCCTCATAGGATCATGATTTAGTATAGAATAACTTTGACAAATCCTCATAGGATCATGATTTAGTCATAGAATAACTTTGACAACTCATCATAGGATCATGATTTAGTATAGAATAACTTTGACAACTCCTCATAGGATCATGATTCAGTATAGAATAACTTTGACAACTCCTCATAGGATCATGATTTAGTATAGAATAACTTTGACAACTCCTCATAGGATCATGATTTAGTATAGAATAACTTTGACAACTCCTCATAGGATCATGATTTAGTCATAGAATAACTTTGACAACTCCTCATAGGATCATGATTTAGTATAGAATAACTTTGACAACTCATCATAGGATCATGATTTAGTATAGAATAACTTTGACAACTCCTCATAGGATCATGATTTAGTATAGAATAACTTTGACAACTCCTCATAGGATCATGATTTAGTATAGAATAACTTTGACAACTCATCATAGGATCATGATTTAGTATAGAATAACTTTGACAACTCCTCATAGGATCATGATTTAGTATAGAATAACTTTGACAACTCATCATAGGATCATGATTTAGTCATACAATAACTTTGACAACTCCTCATAGGATCATGATTTAGTCATAGAATAACTTTGACAACCAAGCCGAACCCAACCTCTTTCCCTTTTCCACCCACTTATTCTTTCTTTCTTTGCTTTGAAACATTCAATGAGTCCATTTTTTAAATGCACAAAGAAATTTGTGAAAATAAAGTCATAAAGTTATCATTAAACAATTGTCATTTTACAGTTTTCATTATATAGTTGTCACGACAGCTTGATTGATTTGTTTGGTTGTGGATCATACCTAAGTAAATCAACACAAATGGGTTTCACATTTCAACACAGGGAGTGTTGGTTATCTTTGCAACACAACTGGGTTTCACGTGTTGGTTTCACGATTCATCTTATCTTTTGGTTATCTTTTCAAAATTAATTTTGACAAACAGTATGAGTTGAAAATGAAATTAAGAATTTATTCTTTTTTTTTTTAATTTTTTATTTTTTATATTTGAACAGGTTTTTGGATGAAAAGTGGAATGAACTTGAAGTATGTTTAGAAGTATTTAACCTGGTCACAAAACTATCTCAAGTATTTGAGTTTAAAGATAAAAAAAAAAGTGTTAATTCTTATACAGTAACTGTGAGTGTATCATTACCTGATAACTGCTGGATTGAAAGTCGAGGCCATCAGCTGCCAGCTGGAGCCACCTTTGAACTATGGCATTCTGGGCCAAGGACACTGGCGTCTGCTTCTTCTTGTTGCTGATGGTTGAGTTGGCGCCATTCTCTAACAATGTCCTGACTATATTTTCTAGATTTGAAATTATATGATATTATTATGGCCCCTTGATATTATTATGACCCCATGCTATTATTATGACCCCATGATATTATTATGACCCCATGCTATTATTATGACCCCCATGCTATTATTATGACCCAATGATATTATTATGACCCCATGCTATTATTATGACCCCATGCTATTATTATGACCACATGATATTATTATGACCCCATGCTATTATCATGACCCCATGATATTATCATGACCCCATGCTATTATTATGACCCCATGATATTATTATGACCCCATGCTATTATTATGACCCCATGCTATTATTATGACCCCATGCTATTATTATAACCCCATGCTATTATTATGACCCCATGCTATTATTATGACCCCATGATATTATTATGGCCCCTTGATATTATTATGACCCTATGATATTATTATGACCACATGATATTATTATGACCCCATGATATTATTATGACCCCATGATATTATTGTGACCCCATGCTATTATTATGACCCCATGATATTATTATGACCCCATGCTATTATTATGACCCCATGCTATTATTATGACCCCATGCTATTATTATGACCCCATGATATTATTATGACCCCATGATATTATTATGACCCCATGATATTATTGTGACCCCATGCTATTATTATGACCCCATGCTATTATTATGACCCCATGCTATTATTATGATATTATTATGGCCCCTTGATATTATTATGACCCTATGATATTATTATGACCACATGATATTATTATGACCCCATGATATTATTATGACCCCATGATATTATTGTGACCCCATGCTATTATTGTGACCCCATGATATTATTATGACCCCATGATATTATTATTACCCCATGATATTATTATGGCCCCTTGATATTATTATGACCCCCATGTTATTATAGGGTCTTTTTTAAAACTACCTTTACAAAGCTCAATCTCTCAAAAAAATGTTCCTATTATTGCTTTTTATAAAATAAACATACCCCCCTTCCCCCCCCCGACTTCTATGGATGATAATCAATGTATCTTTACTGACAAATAAATCACATTTTTATTAACTATTCTTGTTTGACCATTGTCCACAGATAATTTATTTTAGCCACATATTCAATGGATTTAACTTAACTTTTCCCTAGGATTTAACTTAACTTTTCCCTAAGATTTAACTTAATTTTTCCCTAGGATTTAACTTAACTTTTCCCTAGGATTTAACTTAACTTTTCCCAGGGATTAAATTTAAATTTTCCAAAGGATAAAACTTAAGTTTTTCCAAGGATTAAACCCTTCCCAAGGATTTAACTAAATGTTTCCTTAGGGTTTATCTTAACTTTTCCTAGGAATCCCTGGCGCTTTAAATAATTGTGGCACAGAGAGAATCTCAGGAACTGACCAAGGAGACAATATTGAATCACTCCGCGTAAAACAACTGGGCAAAGATATCCTTACTTACCATAACCCCATTTGGCAGCCAGGTGCAGTGGAGTGTCGCCGACTTCATTGGCAGCGTTTATGTTAAGTTTCTTCAGGTAGGCATCGTAGAAGACAAGGGCCTTCACACACTTACACACCGGCAAGAAGAATTGATAATCTTAATGCGTTTGCCCAATGCCAATAAATTAACGTTTCATGATTGTATTTTTAAAGAAAAGAAAATTAAACTGTATCGACTGTTACCTCTTTATAAAAAACAAATTAAAATTCATCACCTTGTGGGAAATCTTTTTTGACTTTATAATAAAGGACTGCATTCAACCTTCCACATACCTCGTTTTGCTATTTCATTGACTTTATAAACCACATATAGCACTTAAACCACATATTGCACTTACTTTCCAAACACATTCATGAACTAACACAAAACAAGAACACATTTAAGGTTGCGTGAACATGTAAGTTAACAATGAAAATTTCTTAATTTAAATTAATTTTAAAATAAATGATCTTAATAACGTCTTAACACATTAGATGAAGGCATATCACCAATATGAAACATTTGAATGTACTATTCCATACAACGTTTCATCAAGTTTGTTCAAGTATTTACAAACGTGTGCGCCAGTGGTCTTTTCTATGACCAAAGGTGGGAGCCGAACATTTTAAAAACACATAAAAAAAGAGACAGGGAAACAAAATTTCTTTTCAGTTGTTGACTCACGTCCTCATGTCCGTTGGCGCAGCTCAAGTGAAGAGGCGTGTTCCCCTCATTGTCGGTCATCATGACGTCGGCTCCAAAATGAAGCAGCAACAGCTGAGGGATTCAACAGTAGAAAAGAGCAATGGAAAAATGAAAATGTTGAAATCAAACAGCAATATGCCGACCTTTGACCTTACACAGAACTTCTGATCATAATTTTCAAATAATAAATTATGAATAAGAGCTTCCTTTTTTTTAGGTGATTCGATTTACTCTCAGAATGACAACATAGGCTATCTCCAGAACTACATAGGGCATCTCCAGAACTACATAGGCCATCTCCAGAACTACATAGGGCATCTCCAGAACTACATAGGCCATCTCAGAACTACATAGGGCATCTCCAGAACTACATAGGCCATCTCCAGAACTACATAGGCCATCTCCAGAACTACATAGCCCATCTCCAGAACTATATAGGCCATCCCCAGAACAACATAGGCCATCTACAAAACTACATAGGCCATCTTCAGAACTACATAGGCCAGCTACAGAACGACATAGGTCATCTCCAGAACTACATAGGTCATCTCCAGAAGGACATAGGTCATTGTCCAGAACTAACCAGGCAGTTCTCCATAGGTAGAGCTGTGAAGTCCGCCCACCTCCAGCTATGTAGAACATTCCCCTGAAGAAGAGCTATGTAATTCATTCCCTTGAAGGAGAGTTATGTAGTTATTCCCTTTAAGAAGACCTATGTAGTTCATTCCCTTTAAGATGACCTATGTAGTTCATTCCTTTTAAGAAGACCTATGTAGTTCATTCCCTTTAAGAAGACCTATGTAGACCATTCCCTTTAAGAAGACCTATGCAGACCATTCCTTTTAAGAGGACCTATTTAGACCGTTGCTCCCCAGTAAGGCCTTGTTGGTCACTAATCAACACTCAAAATGATGCTAATAACAATATTACTTTTGACTCACATAAGATAAAATAGTTTTCTAGAATCTATAATAAAATATTGGACATGTCCAAACCTAGAAATGATGCAACAGCCAAGATTAATTATTAATGTGAAACTCATGAGTTGATTAGTTTAAATTTAACAGGGAAGCAGGTGGACCAACTGACCATGACATTTTGATATCCCCTCTGGCAAGCCAGGTGCAAGGGTGTAAGTCCCAGGTAGTCGGTGGTGTCGACGACAGCATTGTTTTTAATGAGTATGTCAATCAGCTGTGCCTGGCCGTAGTAGGCCGCTATATGCAGGGCTGGGGATTATTCAAACAAATATTTTAAGCACAGCTGCGCACGCAACAAGCAGGGCTGAGAATTAAGTTAAAACACAGCTGACCACGCCATGTGCACCTCCCTTCAAAGACAACGGCAGAAAACGACGAGTCCTTGACCCTTTTTTTTTTAAATAAAAAAATTAGCCTGACTATCGTTATAAAGCTTTCTTTGTGGCTCAAACAATTAAAAAAAAATTATTTATCATCGCAATGACCTTATTAAAGTGCAAAGTGCTAAAAACAAGTTCAAACACATGATGAAAAACAAGTTCAAACACATGATGAAAATATTGATGGTTGTATTATTTATAAAGAATAAAAATTTAAACAAAAATCATTTTGAAATCATTAAGCTCTTTAGGTTTTTAAATCCTGAAAAATCTCATGGCCCTCTAGACTTTATGGGTCTTAAACACCACTATCCTGGCGAGCAGGTCATTTAACACCACTATCCTGGCGAGCAGGTCATTTAACACCACTGTCCTGGCGAGCAGGTCATTTAACACCACTATCCTGGCGAGCAGGTCATTTAACACCACTATCCTGACGAGCAGGTCATTTAATACCACTATCCTGACGAGCAGGTCATTTAACACCACTATCCTGACGAGCAGGTCATTTAACACCACTGTCCTGGCGAGCAGGTCATTTAACACCACTATCCTGACGAGCAGGTCATTTAACACCACTATCCTGACGAGCAGTTCATTTAACACCACTATCCTGACGAGCAGGTCATTTAACACCACTATCCTGATGAGCAGGTCATTTAACACCACTGTCATGGCGAGCAGGTCATTTAATACCACTATCCTGACGAGCAGGTCATTTAACACCACTATCCTGACGAGCAGGTCATTTAACACCACTGTCCTGGCGAGCAGGTCATTTAACACCACTATCCTGGCAAGCAGGTCGTTTATCCCTACGTAAGACACAACAAAGTCCTACGCACCTGTGTAGCCCCTGTTGTCCCTGGTGTAGGCTGTGACCAGGTTGGAGTTGGTGCGCAGGGCAGACAGCATTTTGTCGCACTTGTCGCAGGAGCAGAGCGGATGGCACAACTTCAGGTTTATCTCCTCGCTGGTCTTGTGAGGCTGCTCCAACATCTCAAAGACTTTCTTCTCATCTCCCTCTTGGACCAGCTAAGGTCAGGTTTAAAGAATAAGCATGTTGCATTCATTAACACAAAATGTAACTTTCACTCTTAGACGAAAACCAATTGGTCACAACTTTAGCTAAATGTGTTCTAAAGGTACACCTGCAAGAATAAAAATAGTGATACCTCCAACCATAATTTTACCTGGTATCACTTTCTATTAATACAATATATTAGGTGTTCTCAAAGCATTCCCTGTAGGACACATGTGGCCCTTCAAATAGCTAAATACTGTCCTCATGGAATTTCAGATCAATTGAGATTTGAGAATCACTGCGCAGCCAAGTTATTTTTATGAATTTTAAATTCACTTTGATTAAAATATTTTCTAGACAGACAGATTGAAACCGAAACAAATATATACAACGACTGTTTTCCATTCCCTGTGCCACATGGTTTTGGGCGTGACTAGCACTGCATTAGGGATGTGACCTACTTTAAAGAAGTCATCAATGGTTGTGTTCTGAGATGTCTGCCGTGCTGGTGATGGGGCTGATGTTGAAGAGGATGATGATGTTGTCTGCACATCAGTTGGTTCTGTTGAAAGTACACTGTTCCATCTCTCTCTCTGAAATAGATCATCAATTAATCATGTTATAATCATGAAATAAATTATGTAATAATCATCAAATAAATCATCATTGTGATATCAGGAGAAATAAACAAAATAAATTTAAAATTGTTATTGATCAATGACTAAACACAACATAATTATATTGAACACTTAAGCCATAAACTTGCAGCAATAAAAAATAATTCATTATAACAATGGGTGAAAATGTCAGTGTGGCTCAAGGGATGTTCTTTATATGAAGAAACAAAACTTTTCATTTGGTTAAGTTTTAACAACATTCCTAAGTTAATCCTTACCCTAAAAATGTAAAGCTCAAAACAAAGATCCTGGCATGTATCTCTTTGACCCTTTTGTTCTACAGATTGAGGGCATTTGGAATTTTCTTTATTATTTAATAAATTAATTTCAGATGATTTACAGTAATCATTTCTTCAATGCTGCAAAAAGGAAAGGTTTACTGTACCTTCAGTGGCTTGATGTCAATAGTGTCATCTTTAATATTCCCTGTCCGTATGTGCTCTAGGGCTGCTTCAATAGAGGCCAGATAGAATCTGGAGAAGATAGAGTCTGAAGATAAAATCTGGAGAAGATAGAGTCTGGAGAAGATAGAATCCAGAGAAGATAGAATCTGAAGAAGACATAAGCTAGAGAAGATAGAAACTAGAGATGGCAGAAACTACAGAAGATAGAATCAGGAGAAGATAGCATTGTGAGAAGCTAGGTTTAGAAAGATAAAATTTCTCTAATGGACTCCAAGAATAAAATTAATATAAAGGGCCATTGACTTTACTAGTTCCTTCCACAATGATGCCTTGCAAACATTAACAACTTACCCAAACTCATCATCATCAGATGATTTAGCGAAGTGGAAGTGTCGCATGTAGACAAGGTTTGCCATCCTGCAAGTTGGGAAAAAACAACGAAAGTAACAGGTGAGAAAAATATACATGAGAAAATTAATTTTAAAAAAGATTCACCAAAAAAAAACCACCCAAAAAATGAAGTGAAATAAGGTGGATAAGAAACAAAAAAATTACAAAGGCAGCTTAAATGAAGATGATAGTCAACTGGGTAATTCTGTTATGAGCTAACACAGTGGTATCTCAAAGTGGGCGAAACTCTGGTGATTCTTGTATGAGGTAACACGATGAGAAAATTATATAAACAAACCAGTTTGGAATCTCTGACTTGATGATAAGGAAAATAAGGATAGGAAGTAGGTCATCGCTTGTCATCATGACGACAGATTCTAGCAACAGAAGGAAATAAATTTTAAAAACATTGAGCATTTTAACAAACCTTTAAAGAAAATTAAATACAGTTAAGCTTTTTTTAAATGCCAAAAGGATTTAAACCCAAAAAATTGTAAAGATACAGTCATCTATACCTTTAAACAATTTTGACCCGCTTACTTGTAGATTGGTATCACTTTGAGGTAATTCAATTTTAAATGACAAAATTAGATTTTTATATTCTACTTTATGATAGACCTTCCTATAGAATTCTTTGGTAGCAGTTACATTGCTGAATATGATTCTAGTGAAAAGAGATTTTTTAAAAACCTTTAATATTGTCTTTTGTTAAGGATTTAGGGGGTCTCGTCAGTGCAGCCACCACCCTCTTGATACAGAATAGTCTGCCCATGGGTGTGCTGTATCTGTTTAAAGAACTAAGTTCCTTCTTGGCTGGGAGCATGTTCTGACTGTAAAAGAGGAACAAGGCATGTCATAAGAAAATCTCAATTTAATGGTATCGATTCTCATGGACTGTTTTCATATTTAATAAACAACATTAAAAATCTCATTCTAAGGGCATCAACTCTCAAGGCATGTTTTGCAGATTTCATTAACAAGAAAAAGAATACAGTAAACCAATTATATGTTTTTTCTTTTTGATTAACAGGGTTTGGGAATTTTTTTAAATTTATTAAAACATGCATATGCAATCTTAAAATAAATTATACAAGAAATGTTCAAAAGCTAAGTCAATAAAAAAACAAAAATTATACACACAAAAATAGGTTCTATATTGCATCAAGGTATGATTCATTAACAAACATTGTATAGGCCTTCCTACTTCCCATAATAAGTATATAGACCATCTACTTCCCATAATAATTATATAGACCATACTACATCCCGTAATAACTGGCAGTACCTGAAGATTTTTCTAATGCCCAAATCAGAGAATTGTAGGTCAATCAGATTGCGTGTTATTTTATTGAGTTCAGCATCCTGGGCGGCCACTGTCGCAGTTATTACGCGGAACAGGCGCTTGTGTACTGCATTCATCATGTAGGTCTAAGACATATTGAATCATAAGTGGCCACAAATACAATTTAAAACCAAAGTCACTAAATTTGATGAGACATTGGATGACTTATTATAAAAGGCATCAAAATTTTCTAAAACTCTGCGCAATTTTCTTGATTAGTTGCCAGATTTCTTTTCTTGTTTTAAATTACAGGTAAACTATGAAAATAAAATTCTTAGCTTAGTTCCAATTTTCATTTTGTACATATTAACATGTAAAAAAAATATACAAAGTTAAGAAGACCAATCTGACCGCCCTTCTTCTTTGGTTTCCAAGTCGTAGTAATTAAATTAATTAATTAAAACTTTTCCTTAACAGAAAAACTCAAGAAGAAAAGAAGCGAGGAGTTGCAAAATTTTTTTTAAAAAAAAGGACTCATGGACATGATAAGATACATGAAACAAAACACATAACTAATAAAATGTAATAATTAAAAATAATTAAGCCTGTCCTCCACTGCATACCTCAACAGCAATTTTGAGATTTTCCATGTAATGGTGGTTGTGTCGAGCTGATTTTTTCTGACAGGCGGGGGGAAAAAAAAGAGACAAAAATCGCTGCAGTCAATAATTATATAGGATTAGGAAAAATACATAAAATTTAATTAATTATCCGTATTAGTTCTCTAGGTTTGATGCCTTTATTTCATCGTTTTTAAAAAACGTCTATAAAAAAATTATTCAAAATTCTCCAAATGTTTAGTTGACATACGGTAAATTGTTTTCTAAACATGTCGGCTTTAAGCTCATTGTAAACAATTTTAACTTACCACTACAGTGTCTCTAAGCAGGAGCTGCATTGCTTTTGTGAAGTGAGTGTTTGCAGCATCCTGTCATTTTAAAATTCAAATATGCAAAGGGCAAAAAAAATAATTTTAATATACAAAATAAGGACCACAAAAAGCAACAACAGATAAAAATAAACATATTACATCGATATATAAGAATAGCATTAAACGTTAATTTACCATAATGCTTCGTAGACTCTCTCCTTCAAGTCTGTCGTAGGTAGATGCAAATGTGTTTAAAATCTTGTCAAGGGAGTCCCTCATCCTTTGGCCACCTGGATATTGACATTTTTTTTTAATGGAGGAAAGATTCTAATTAGAGTGTGGGAACCTTGCAAAGAATGAGGAAGCAGAATATAATTACATTTACATGCTCAATAAATAATTTGATGAGTGTCATTAAATGTTTGTAAGGAAAACTTGAATTTGTTTACAGGAGCATGTAGAAGAATCAGACAAAATAGAGAATTACTAATATATTAATTTTTTTTTAAATCTCAGCCTGTCATAATTTGTAATTAATTCTAATGCAAATCAGAGAATAACAACTTCATATAATAATTGACATACTAAATTATTTTATTTGACCCTGGAAGCAACTTATGTAAAAATTTTAATTCATTTTAAAAAAAAATTGATATTAAAGGTTTTGTGTACCTGAATGTGACCAAAGTATGTCCATGACCTCGTTATAGCTTGTGGGCGATGCATGCTTGGCTGGAGGTGCCTCTGTTGCTTTGTCTAAAAGTGTAAATATTATTTAATATCCACCTCTGAATGAGGCCGGTTACCAAATCTAAGCCAAGGTGTCTCTAAATTATTTTTATTGATTAGGGACTTGGAGTTAGATGGAGATAAACTTGGGCCAAGTTTACACTGAGACCTCAGACCTTTATCTGTATCTGCGAGTTCTATCCTGATACTAAAGGGACACTGATGATATGTTTAAGTTCACTGGACTGTATCTGCCAGTTCTATCCTGATACTAACGGGACACTGATGATATGTTTAAGTTCACTGGACTGTATCTGCGAGTTCTAACCTGATACTAATGGGACACTGATGATATGTTTAAGTTCACTGGACTGTATCTGCCAGTTCTATCCTGATACTAATGGGACACTGATGATATTATAGGAGCCAAAATGATCAATAAATTGATCGTGGGCCCTTAAGATATAGAAGAAGAAGATATGTTTAAGTTCACTGGACTGTATCTGCCAGTTCTATCCTGATACTAAGGGGACACTGATGATATGTTTAAGTTCACTGGACTGTATCTGCGAGTTCTATCCTGAAAGGGACACTGATGATGTTTTTTTAAGTTCACTGGACTGTATCTGCCAGTTCTATCCTGATAATAAAGGGACACTGATGATATTTTTTTAAGTTCACTGGACTGTATCTGCCAGTTCTATCCTGATAATAAAGGGACACTGATGATATTTTTTTAAGTTCACTGGACTGTGCATCTCTTGCCACACACAGCATGTGATTATGAAGTTGGTTGCTTTTTAAAAGTAGGACACAGGCATCAGATCGGATTCATATTTTAGGTATATATTTAGTGGAGAGAATCAGGAGATAATTGTAACTGTATGACTCACCAAGTCCAAGAATACAGACTAAGGTGTTAAGTTGGTGTCCTGCAGATATCTAGAGGTTATTTGTTAATTAATATGTATCTGAAAGGCTCACCAAGTGAGAAGTGTTAAATTGGTGTCCTGGACATATCTAGAGGTTAATTACAGAATTTAATAACGCCTGCCAATAGTGTTTTTTTTTTTACATACCAATGTCTCTGTTGAGCAGTCCTCCAATACAAAACACCCGATAGCTTCCTCCATTTTCCCCATGGAAAGTCTCCGCAAACAATATGGGTACCTTGCAATGTTAAGAGGGGATTAGTTTTAAGAATTCAACTTGCCAAAAACAAGCATTTGATTAATTTAGGTTAAATATTCATGGTATTTCCAAACTAAAAGTTCAACTAAAAGTAAACATCTTCTCTGGCACTTACTTGTCGTGGAGTATCAAAGCCTTCTTTTGTTATAATTTTTCCATCAGAAATTTGAACACACTGGAAAGAAAATGTTTTCTTGATGTAAAAATTAAATTATTTAATAGTTGAGAAAAACTGTTTTAGCACTATAATTAGAATATTTTCTCGTAATTTCTAGGTGAATAAACAAAGTAATACTATGCTGTTGCTGGAACTCATTAAAAATAACAAATAACTTCTTAAATTTCTTCAACATAGAAATAGAAAAATCTTTGATTTGTCGGCTGTCTGATTTCCAAGAACTTGACTTCAATTTTTCATAAAAGAAACTTATTTTTTTAAAATTATTTGAACCGTCTCATTTCAGTAAAATTATACAAAAAATAAACTAGTTTGAACATGCCTTTCCAGAACATGTTTTGAAGTCATCATTGTCATCAACAACATCTTTGGTGGGCAGCAAAATGTGATCTTCAACATCTTGTTTTGAAAGGCTGATACTTGCAGCTATAGAAAACTTTGGTACACAGAGCTGGAAATTTGAAATGCTTTTGAGTAAGTTTGGCACGACATGATTTGCATGAGTAATTTCAGGTTTTATTTCTTAAATTTTAAGTACAAAACAATACTGCTATTTAATTTTCAGTTTACTAGGGTCTTTTGAAAAATAAATAATAAGAACATCCAGATTTGGTAATCTGTTGAAAATAAAATTATTAGGATAAATTCAATTAAAAAATTGATAAGCGCCTACATTCCTTTGATGATTCGTCAACATAAACATTTAGCTTCTATTTTGTAGATTTGTCAACATGAACATTTGTACTCTAAACTGACACATTAGTAAAGTCTAAACTGATTATTTAGCTAGGCATGACATTATTTTACTTACTATCCCTTTGGAAGCTATCAATTTTGTTATATATTCAGCAAATTCTGATGATATTTTACAAAAAATTGGATTGTCACAAACATCCTCATCATACTTGGATGACATTATAGATGTCTATTATCCAATGTTTTTGTCCCATCACTGTTAAATATAAATGTAAGGATTATGGGGAAATTTATATTATTGAATTCAGTAATGAAATAATAAATTTTATTTAAAAGTCTGTAAAAGTTAATGTTCTTTTAAACTATGTATAGAACCTTCGAATTGTATGAGCATGGTGAGAGGTATATTAAAAGATATATAGGTAGATTAGTAGGCCTACTATTTAAATATTGACTGATTGCCATAACAATTACATCATTTTAAATGGCTAGCTACAGGCTTTCCAAAAAGGCTGCGGCTATTCGGACCCGGTATCAGAAGTGAGAGGTCGGGTTTATTAAAAAATAGAAAAAATATTTTTGTTGGGTTTGTAAGACAAAATTTGGTATCAAATGAACGACAATTGAATGGACTATATGTTTGTAAACTTACTTCTTCAGTTTAACTAAAATAAACTAAGACAAATGACATCTGAATAGCATTTAGTCTAAAGGGACCCGGGTCCAAATAGCACCCATTAATTACTTTTTACCCATTTTTAGGGTTAACAAAATAATATTTTACAAAATTTTCCAATTTAATTTTAATTAAAAACAAAGTTTTTCAAAATACACCGAAAGCAACAAATACTAAAAAATTAATATTTTCGCTGACCACTAGTACCACACCTTAATATTTGAGCACAATTTACAAGTTTTCAGCTTTGAAGACACAGGAAAGGAAAATTTCAAATAAAGTAAATTTTATGTAAAAATAAATTTAACATAACGTTATTAAGTTCTTAAATACATTTACGTCCTGTCCTTGAATTAATTTGTTTTTATTCTTGTCAGTGTTATATTGAGTACTTAATTTTTCACAAAGAAATCCATCATGGTATTCGGGAAGGAGGGTGGGGGGTGACACCAACCCTAGCTACACCACTGAGGCATGTTACAATGAGGAGAAATCAATCATTTTGGAGCACAAATTAATCTTATTGCACACCAATCCCTGTTTAAAGTTTAATATGAATAGAACTACAGTCAATGATGGGCACCAACACTTTAGTCGTCCCCACACCATCAATCTAACTTAGTATCTTTCTACTAATGGCTTCATTCCTGTCTACCACTTTATTTTTTTTTTTTGCTGGCCATTTTTGCTTGTCTGGGCTGTTATAAATAACAGTAATCTACCCCTTGAGCTTCAGTTAGAAAATAATCCTGTTGTTCTGGTTTGAAGTGCTATTCATAGTTATTTTTTTTTATTGATGTGGGCAGTGGAGTGAGGGCCCCTGGGTTTTCGGTGGCATAGAAGGAGAAAGTGGGTGCTGTTTTCTTGTCCAAGTGCCAGATTTGCGATCACTTTATGAGTGTATAGAAACATATATTCTTAAAGGCTCACTGATTGTATCGGACAAATGGGCGGCTGATGCCAACATAATCCAGATCAGACACATTTTGTTGATCCAAATGATGCTGGTGTCCACACACAGAATGTTGAAAACATGTGGTTGCGGTAAAAAAAATATAGTTTAGTTTTCCTTTCCTAATTGCATGAGTTCATATTCCGCAACCATTTTCATGGAGAGGATATTTTAAAAACTTCTTTGTTAACTTGAAGGAAAACTATGCATAATCTCAAACTCTGTTGTCTTTTCAATGTAATAACACTTCAAACCGCACCAAAAGGAATTTTTCATAATCGACGCTGAAGTGGTAGATTAACATAATAGTCTACCATTTACATTTTAGTGATTTCTAATGTACTTTAACTCTTTCGCTGCGGAACAAGACACACTGCATTCATCCACCATTCTCAAAAGCACAGACCAACGCGCTGTGCGTTGTTTCAATTTCATATTTATTTATTTCCTATGTCTCAGTTAAAATTTTTAAGAGCTATTTTAAATAAGACTTTTACATAGAAGAGTGGTACTTCATTGTTTATAAGTGAAATCAAGGTTTATTTGTTGTCATTTGAAACATTATTTTAATGATTATCTTTGCTATTTTTTTCTACTATTGCTATGGTTACTCTAGGCCCTAGTGAGTAAGTTTCCTAGATGATTAACAGCTCAAAAAGCTTTCGAATTGTTTTACACTATTCCTTTTGATAATGAAGATGATTTATATTTAGATTCATCGGATAATTCCGATAGTGGTAGTTTTAGAGGATTTGAGTTATAGAAATGAAAGTGAGGTATGCGTACATCATAGGATTTGGGGGGAAAATGGTTTAGCATTATAATGATTTCCCATTTTATGGTTCTTTTCTGTAACTTATTTTATTTAAACTGAAGAAATAAGTACAAACATATAGACCTTTCAATTATCTTTCATTTGATACCAATTTCAGTCTAATAAACCAAAAAATAATATTTTAAATATTTTTTAATAAACCCAATCTCTCATTCTTTTTTTATCTTTGAAAAATAATGTGCATTTTTTAGATTAAAAAATTACGCAGCAAAAAAGTTGAACCACGATCAATTTAAATGTAATTTTTACTTTAAAAAGTTGGCTTTTGAATTGATATTGTTTTTCCTTTTATAAATTACAATTCCAGGCCCTAAAACAAAAACTTAGTTACTAGTAAGAAAGAAGCTCCCAAAACATGCCAAGAGATTTTTTAAAAGAAAAGGAAACGTAAAATGAACAAGAAAACAAAACTCAGTAAAAACTTAGGCTTTAACTATTAAGCTTAGTAAAGTTTATATTTAGATTAGTTCAATTTCCCAAATCAATTTTCAAGTCAATGTCCATCACAGTAGTGACTTTGTTTGTCATGTTTTAAATTTAGAACTTAGACTTAGGCGATCTCGGAACTGTACTATTCGATTTACCAGCGTGCTCCCACTGAAGTCACACATCTTATTGAGACCTAATAAGTCTTTTAGGCTACAATTTTAATGTTTGATTCCTTCAATATGTTACTTTCGTTACAGATGTAAGTTATTTTAAATAATCTTATAATGTCAACAAATAAAGTTAGGTTGTAATGTTTACATCGCCATTATTTTGAAACCGGAAACGTGACAATGGTTTTTGATTTTGTGACTGAAGATTAACTTTCCGTAAAAAAACAAGACAGGTAAGAGATAAATGCATTTTGTTCCGGACACTTACGGTAAAATCGGTAAACTGTTGATGAAAAGTTGATACTGGAAAATGGCCGATAATCGGTAATGAATAATTTTTGTTTACTAAAGTTATAAGTCTACTGCCTTTGTACTATACATATTCAAACTTTGAAATGAGCCTGGTTTTGTGAATATATGAAATAATTTTAAGAATAGACTTACACTACTTACAGCATTGTTTGAGAAATAGGAAATTGTTGTAACATACCGTGGTTAAACTAAGACTTAAGTCAAGACTAAGAACAAGACTTAAGAGAATATGATGGCCGAGGGATGATTGAAACTACTGAACTGACTAAACTTAGTTACTTAGTACTACTTGTCTAATAGTTTGACTAGATGGAGATGCATTTATAAATATTTCATGTAATTATCTAGAGGCATTTCATTAAAACTAGTACGGATATCTTAAAACCATGAGTGATATTGATATGATGATTGAGTTACTTAAATAATTATGAATTATAATTATGATTAATCACTGATTAACTGATGTATGAAAATAAAGTCATAAGTTTAATTTTGTATTTGAAACACCTTAGCGCTATCATCTAACTTTAAAATGAAAGGGTTGCTTCTCTTCTATCACTTTAATCTGAGCAAGGTGGGTGGGGGGGGGGGGGGAAGGGGGGCTAACCCCAAATTTTTTAAATAAAAAATATATTCGTTTGGTGTAAGCTCAAATATTCAAGGGTGGATACTGAATGTTTTAACAAATCGCTCTCACTCTCATTTAGTCAAGGTGAATGATCAATTATCATTACCTAACGAAATAAACACTAGGGGGCCACAGAGTTTTTTTCTCTTCCCTGACCTGTATACAATATGTACTGATGATATCTAGAGCCGAAGTAACACTGTTCCAATCATTAAATTTGCTGATGATACCACCATCGTTGGATTAATGCCTGAAGGGGAAAGCTTATATCGCAACTTTGGTAAAAGCTTTATCAGCTGCTGCGATGAACATTTTCTTTAGTTGAATGTCTAAAAAATGAACAAATGTTTGTTCATTCATGAGGTTCACCAAATTTTAGAACTTGTAATAAAAAGATCACAATGTAGTGCAAGTAGAGCCCCTTGAGCAAAGCTGGATCTTGTCAAAATTAGGCATATTTTTATAGCCGTCATAAAAAAAGCTTTAAAATTGTTTTGTATAAATAATATTAACAAGAAAAATAATTGATAACAGGAAAGATAAATTCCTGCATTCCAACTCTAAAATGTGCTGTCCACAACTATCTAAAAGTAGAGTATAAAGGAAAGCTGAACAACAATGTACATTTAAAGTTAATTAAGACAAAATGATCTGCTCTTCAGCACTTGTAAATATTTGCAGTGAATAAAACCCTATTCAGTCATTGTTGTGAAATGCTTCCTATTATCCGTTATCTTTCTAAAATCTTATCTGATGATAATGATTGCACTGTAGACGCAAGATAGAAATAAGTGATGATTACATTGACAATTATTTTTGGTCACTATGCAAAGCTTGGTTGTCAATCCCCAGCTGAGTGTGGAAGCCCATACATTTGACCCTAAGCAATGTTTCCCAACCATTTAAATATTGCGCCTATTGATGTGTGCTGCAAAGATCATGTAATGTTACTACAGGAAACGCATGAACAAAAATGTAATCCGTATTGATATTTAAGACCATACATGTATATACTCCCATTAAAATAGTTTCAGTATAGTACTGTTGCGGTAAAAAGAAATGTTTACTTTATTGTAGGATGGTTGAACTTGGCTCTGTAGATATGAAGATATATGAATCTGAAATATTCAGACTTAGTACTCACTAAGACATATTGACTTAAACAAAATATTCAGTAATTTACCTATTGGCACTGGCAAAGAATGATTCATTGAAATT